AGATGATGGCGCCTCCACCGCCACCTTTTCTGCCCCCTCCACAGAATATGCCACTGCAGCTGCTGCCGCTTCCGCTTGCACCCATCCCGCTTCCGGCATCTCCAAGTATTGAAGAGGACAGTACTAACGCGTTGCCGCAACCACCACCGCCGCTGTTCACCTCCAGTGCTGACGACTACGTTTCGCCACTACCGTCCACGTCCCGCTACAGCAGCCAACCAGCGAATCCCGTGGTGCTGCCGATGGGTCAGAACTTCCCTGCGAAACGCGATTCACCTCCCCACGAATACAGTACGCTTGTTCAATGCGACAGCAGAGTTCCAACCTCTCGGACACAACCACCGGTCTCTTTGAAGACGAAAAATAACGTGATGAACGGAAGAGGATACACAACAAGCACCAGTTCGTCGAAGGTCTCGCATAAAACGGGGCAGCTGAAGAACCCGTTGTATCATATGTGCTGTCGGGATCTGACGCAAGTTCTGTGGATTATCGTTGGTATCATCATCATCGGTGTGATCGTAGGACTGATTCTAGGGCTGACTTTGGTATGAACTTTTTTTTCGAAACGTTCTAGTGTTCACAATTTCCTGTCTTCGACCGCGTCACCTTTGCGTTTATTATGAAGCACGAACTGTGAATTTGCGAGGCCAAGTTTATGTGAATTTCAGTCATTTCATAGCAACGACAATAAACCTGTAAATCGTTCCTTTCACGTCACCATTCGAGAGATCGTGAGAGAATTGCACGGTTAGCAAATTATTCTTAGCTCCAGCAAATTGCAGCAGTCTCGTACAAAATCATATGACAATATTAGCGCTCTGGATACTCGTTCGGTTTTGCATATTTGAAGGGCGGGTTCCAATCCATAGGAGTTGTAAACTTCCCATATTAATGATTAATCCCATTGATTAGGGAATTTATTCCATTGTGCTTCAGCGCATCCAGCCTTTAAACCATTAACAAACATTGACTTGTGAAAAATGGTGACAGCGTTGGGTCACTATGTGTCGTGGCGATGCCAAAGATTGCGAGTTACACGACCATACTGCCTGAAAGGAACACTTTACGGTATGCAGTCTTTTTCTTGACCAAACTGGTAGTGAAATAAAGATCCGTTCAAGTGTAGCTCTTAGACACGAATGTATTAGGGGTAGTTTTTCACTAATCATCAACTCAAGATAAACAATAAGGAAATCGATGATGAGCCACAAAATTGGACAGAAAAGCATGGTTCAAACAGAGCACATCGAACGGCGTACTATGCGATAAGAGGATGCCAATCGAGTTATGGGGAACAGATTTGCAGCACAGAGGTAAAAGTTTTGAACAGCAGTACTCGGTGAATTGTTTGGCCATCCTGATGAAATACGAGCATGAAATATGTATGTTCAGACAGATGTGTGGTATCAACCAAAAGTGCCATATCCATCACAGCTTTATAAAACGAACTTTAGGCGTTGTACCAATTTCAGAAAAGCTTATGGAAAACAACTCCCGTTGGTTTGGCCACGTGAAAGGGAGATTAGATCAGGCATTGAAATTTTAGTCCAAGCACCGATGTCACCAATGAAGAAAATGAGAGGAAAACCAAAGAAAAAAATGGCCTGATATCGTAAAGAACGATATGACCGAAGATTCGACCAAAGACAAAATATGGAGGCAGTTGACGCAAGCAGCGGGACCCCTGTTAAAGGAAATATACTAATAAAAAGTAAATAAACTCAAATCAAACATCAACTTTTTCCTACAAGGAAATGATGAACAAGATTACAGGTGAATCGGTTCTGGCAAATTTGGATGGTCAGATGAGTCGTTCAGGTGTCCCGCACCGTAAACTCATTTCTTTTTCTTAGTACTTTAAACAGACAGAACGTCAGTTATTCGCATGGCCTGTGCATCTTATGCTTTGACTGTTTATTAACCGTAAATTTTTATCCTAATGCTAGAATCCTCGCTGTGATATTTCTTTCTTGATCGAATCAATTGAAAGTAACAATTACTAATCTCTACTCAGGAAGTGGTTTTTGGTGCTTCAGTTTTACCAAAACAAGAATGGAAAGTTGATTTTGAATCTGTCATGATTAATCATCAATGAAGTTTATGTTAGTAATAAAATGTTTGATAACTAGACTTTCCAAACATACTGGGCTGCCTCCTGTGCAAGACGTTTACGGGATCAAAGCCAGAGATTGCATATGTGGACATTGGAGAATTAATCGATAAAATTTATTTCTTGTAACCAACCTATAAACAGACAGGTCTTTCAGCACAGATGAAAATATGACCACTTTCATATACCGTAAGACACACTAATTTAAAACATAACAAACGACTCAGATGGTGCAATGTCAAAGATTGACCGACTGTTGGTGGATGGCAAAATCGTCAGTTGAGCCCTGTTACACTATTACAACTGTTGCAGAGGCACTCGTCTAGTGGCATCGTCATTTCTAGCGTGTCCGATTGTATTTCTTTTGCCAAATTTCAGAAACGTTTTCTTGCCAATGCAGGATTTGCATATTTCTGACGTCATCGCTGTATTATCTTCTTTCAAGGCTGCAAGAAAGTGAAAAGGAACATAGACTTATATTAGGGTTGTTCAAGAAAATAATCGCAAACGTAGAAAATATAAAAGTATGCGAAGGAACACCGCTGCCGACTCTAAGAGCATAGTTAAATTCCGAAAAGAAGCTAAAACCAGAGCATACTGTATGCCTCAGCATATTAGTAGTGGAAATGATTCTCACGTACCAGAGCTGAGAATCTCGTAAAACCACACCGATAGAATTTAGATAAAATAAACTTTCCTGAAAGAAGCCAATTTAGGAAAACGGAAAGAATGAGGACGATCATATCGGTGTAGACATGCTGAAAGATGAGCGGACGGGCGGGAGGGAGCAGAAGGACATTAAAGTGCTCAGAAAAATTAAATTAATTATAAATTCATCGTATTTAATATCCACTAACTAACGATGCTAGGCTGTTTTATACA